AAAAAAAAAGGAATTAAAAAGAAAAAATTTTACGAAATCTTTTTCTATATTATCTACAGTAAGTATTATTATCAGACTTATCTAGAATGGTTTTTTTATTATGACAAAAAAAAAAAAAGTTTTTTACCCTTTTTTTTTATAAATGGGTTTTGATCCTTTTGAAGTGATGTTTAGTTCATGGGAGGCAAGTCCATGATGACTTCCACTTTTTTTTGACAGCTACTTCCAATTTTTTCTTTTTGTAATCTTAACAATATGTTTAGTTACTTTAAGTTGAGTATTGGAATTATCTCAATTTTTTATTTTATCTGCGTTAACTGATACAAAGGTGTTACAATATTACAATATCCAATTTCTTATGTGTTTGTTAATACATAAAAAATCAAACTATCGTTATTCAGTATCTAGAAATAAGGAATTGTCTTAAAGAGAATAGTAGTTAATTCGATGCTCATTTATTCTTTCCCAAATTCCGACTTCCGTGATTCATGACCACTCCCATTTCAAATAAGTTCACATGATTATTCATCCATTTATATTGTATGTCATGGATTTAGTATAATCCCACAAGTTTTTTGTACACATATCTGCATAATTCCGCTTTGCAGTGCAAGTAAGTAACAATGTCATTTTCCCATGCAAAAAGGAAAAAAGTTACTTTTGAGTTGAATTGTAAAGGAAGGAATGATAATAAACGAGTCAGTGGTTTGGTGGTAAAACACTCGTCGTGCAGTCTTCTTCCACATTTAATGTAAAATTCATAGACATCCATGTGTGGATTCAAGTCGTTATAAATGGATGCATGCAGTAAGGCCTGCTTCTGAAACTCCTCCTGCCAATTGGTATATCCATGGTCCCATCCCAGGGATGAGGGGTCAAGAATCCCTCACCCTATTATTATGAACAAAAAAGAAAAAAATAGTAGAAATTGATTTAAATTCAAAACTGCCTCCTAATTATTCCCCATAATCAAGTATTTTTATAGCAATGATGGCTGAAATTTGAATTCAAAATTAAAAACTGCCTAATCAAAGGTGCATGTGTGTGAGGATTTCATGGACACCAATTTAGCAGTCTAGTGATACTCTTGTCATAATATTGAAGAAAGTTCTTGATTCGATTCTCTCCTCCACTCGGAAATATAGTTTATTTTTTATTTTTTATTTTTTTACGAGGGTTACTCCAAACACATTTTTTCGACATGCTGTCGTCATCACGTGAACCAACTCCAAGAGCTGCATACTTTATCAAATTTAATAAGCACGGTTTTAAAGTGAAAACAAATACCCTCTGAATTAAATTTGGTGCAGGTAAGTAAGATCATGAACTCACTCCCCCTTTGAGCATAAACAAAAAACAGGACAAGAATTTGCATGGGAAATGCATCTAACTGAGATGACAGTGAAATCTGAGATACCAAAGCTTTGTCTATGGTGGTGGCATGTGACTTTGTGAGGAGGAGCAGTTGGGCCTCAATGCAAGCTCACTTAGGCCCCTACTGCATCAAAGCAGTTGGGTCCACCAAAACCAACAGAGTTTACCAACTTCAATGCTGATTGATTCATTGTCTAATCACAAGGCCCATATGAGACAAAGAGCTACCTTTGCCTCTACCCTAATGTCCACTGAATCATTTGATGCGTCACATACAAACTTATGAATGTTGGGTAGGACAATTAATTAAATTAATACTTAATTAATACTATTTAAACAAATTTGATCAAGTGGCAATTTTGTTTGTTATTTATTCATTGTCATTTCATTAGGTTGGGGTGGGTAAAAAACTTCAAGTCCAATACCTTTATCTGATCATAATAATAACAATGACAATGCCAACAAACAAACAAACAAACAAATGCATGAGATTGTTTATTGTTTGGACAATGGAAGTTGCGCCTACTGAGGACAGTGCCCAAGTTTTGGAATTTGTTGGGAAATTTTTGTTTTTGTTTAAAGGGACCACTAGCTAATATGAAACTTTATCACCCAATTTATTGTTAATTACAATGTAATCATAACACCGTTATATAATATTATCAATTCATGTGTTATAATATGAGTGAATTTATAACCGTACGTGACACGTTCGGACATAACTATTACACATGTAGAAGCTATTCATGAGGGTAGTGGTGGAGATTGATGTATATGATTCTCTCACTCTTGTATGACACGCATAAGGCCAAACAAAGTAACACATCAAAAGTTTATTATTATTGTATTATATATATATATATATATATATAATAGTCAGATACAGGATGGCAGAAAAAGAAAAGGGAGAGCGAGCTTGCATACAGACAATGGGGCAGCTTTTGTCTTGCTTGCCCTTGAAGATATTCCAGAAAATTGTGGGTAGTGGGAATGCAAGGACCACAAGAAAAGCACTTATTCTAATACAATCATTTTTCAAACCCAATCTCCTTCTTGTTAAATGCAAATGAACACAAGATTGGGTGCATTTCATTTTGCATTTACCATTCATCTTACACTTAACCTTTGTATTTGAAGGATTAAAAAAATATGGATGCACCAAACGTTCGAACCTCCCAGTCCCAGAAAAGGACTAGGGTTTCCATTTCATCATTTCATGGTTGCTTAAAGACCTAAATGATCAGTTATTTGGTGCAACTTATTTATTTCTTTGGTTGGCTATTTTGGTGAAACTTTAATTATGCACATATAATTTTCGTTTTTCTTTTAAGGTTCGCAATTTTGTTGAGAATGAGTTATCAAATTTGGTCATAATCATATTGCAACAGCCTAATTTAATACTTACGTTTGTGTTATTTCTGGTTTGGAGAGGTTATAATGGAAAGCTCTCACCAAATTATGTCACCTAGTTGACCCTTAAATGTTCCATCGGTTATAAAAAAAAATTGGTATAAAATAATCAATAATTGAAAGCTTTTTATATCACAATTTATGGGATGTTGATGTTTATTGGGAAAATTTAGACTTCTAGATTCCTTTCTACTAGTATATACTTTGTACCAAAGCCAACGGGTATGGCTATCGGTGAAAAAGGACATTGACTTATAGATAGTAGTCTCAAGTTTGAACCCTCGTGACACCTTTGTAGTGTGTGTGTGTGAGAGAAACTCATCTCCCCTTTATAATTTAGACTATCGCTTATACTGGAAAAAAAATACATTTGTACTAAAATGTTAAATGCTAAATTCTTCTTCTTCTATCATAAAACCTAACTTTGCTCACATCACCCACCTATTTTAGCACCGACAATAAGAATGAATCTCCTTACTCAGTATCAATATATAGATGCATTCAGGACCATCTCTGAACATGGTCACCAAAGTTGGGTACTTTTATTTAATTTTGTTCTTAAAATTACTTTCATATGGGTAGATTAGATTTGTAAAAAAAAAAATACAGATAGAATGAGCAGAAATCTGTGGCAATAATAAATGGTTACAAGCTTGGGATGAAACTACAGTCTGGTTGTGATTTTATCCAGCTGTAACTAAAGTACTGTGACAAACTTCTTTACTACAGTGATTTTATCAGAGTGTCATTGTGGCAGTACCTGATTGGTTTGCGATATTGCCACAGTAACATCCCGTTATGTTTGTGGGTGGGGCTACTTCTTCAAACCTGGGGGGATCTGGACGTTCCTAATCTAACGATTCTCTCTTTGAACATTGGATTCTCTCCATCCTTTTGAGAATCCAATGTAATAAAAGTTAAAGTCTCGTGCATGAATTGCATCACGCTCAACAAGAACAAGTAATCAAAGATTAGAGGGTGAAATGATCCTACATAGTTTACAACTAATATATGTGAGCGGTGATGAATGAGCCACCATTGGAAGTAGCTTTGAGTGGTTGCATTGCATGAGGCGAGCATTTCAAGATCAAGAGGTGGGTAGCTTTCTTGTTTCGTCACCAAAATATAAAATAAGATAAAGGGGGGGAGAGTATATTTAATGGTGTTTGAAAGATTCTTATAATGACATCATGTAATTGAAATGCAATCTTGTCAACTATTTTTTTTTCTTCTAAAAATTCCTATTAAAATTCGAACCTACCTAATAAGACAAGTTATTAGTCATAAAAAACCTTCGTTACTATAATATTCCGTTAAAGTTAGTCTAAATAAGCAGCCCCCCAAGGAAAATTTTCAGATAAGAACTCTCACAATGATGTTACTTTGAATGAAAAAGGAGGATGGGGAAATGGCCGTGTGACACCTTGGTCCTTGGAGGGCCCCACTTCTCTCTATGGATTAGTATAATTATGTTTAACTTTCATCAGTTTCTTAAATGACAATGATGATTATGATTATTTATTGATTATTGTGTTGGTTTTGCAAAGGTCGTGCACCGACAGAAAAAACATGGGTATCTCTAGTTTATGGTACGAGTTCAATTGAAGAAGATAGGGACCTTACATGGGCATTGAACTTGTGCCACGCTTCAGGCCTTAGGAGGATAGGGGCTTGGCTTTTGCTAAGCTGTTCATTTCCGTGTCGACGACGACGTTGACTGTACTCAGACATGAGGTGGGTGATAGTGTCCTAGGATAATGTCGTGTGTGTGTGTCGATGATTGTTAGCGGTTCATGAAATGTACATATACTCACGTACAAAGACGAGTGGCTTGCATTGACGGTTAACAATTTCCCGCGCATGGCAAATCGATGAAATTGTGGGCTTTGAGAACAATAAGCAGTGGGAAAAGCTCAAACTGAGCCCAAGTTTACCCAAACACACCAGGGATATACGGGCCTGGACAGAACTGAGAACTGACATATCTAACATTGTGTATAGTTTAGATCATTCGCAAATTTTTACAACTATCATGGCTTGAACACGAAGTTCTTAGCCAATCTATGTGTCCCCAGTGGACATCTATTTCAGTCAGTCTGATATATATGCTAGGCCTCAAGTGGAAGGTGTAAGTATGGAAAATAAAAAAACGAGGAAGGTGAGCAATTGGCATGGCAAGAAACATACCAAAAGTAATCAAACCACTTAACATTCAAGTTATGGGTTACGTCCTCAGGCCCCAGCACATGGGGAGACATCAAACACCTGTACAAATAGCAAAAAGGCACAAACAATGACTTGGTGATTCACAGGCAATTGAAAACCGTTGATTAGTGTGAGCTTCATAATGAGATCCTATTTAATCAAGGACTTGCAATCATTCAAAAAATGTGTGGACGACTGTGTTTAGCAAAATTCTTATTGAATATGTAAAGTGTACCTTCAATTAATAATTATAGTGTTGCATAATTTTCTCTTTCGCCTCCTTGCCCTCCTCAAAATCCGTTGTGTCTCTTCCTTTACCTCCTCAGCCATGTCTACGTCTTCCTCAAGGAAACAATTACGCTTGAGTTTTGTGGAAAATGATTATATATACACATACAGTATAAACATAAGTGGTACAGTTTTTACTCTCACACCTTTTTTCCCCAACAAAAATGTGTAGCCAACAGTCAAAATTAATAGATACTGCAAATGCTACTTTCACAAAGTACCTGTTTCTTTCTCGTCAAGCAAGCAGGAAAAGGCTCCATCAATCTCCTCATCTGATTCAATGACAACTCTGCATTCTCTTTCCTGCATCATGTATTTTCATGTCATCTCGGCCACGAAACTAGATACATAACTTATAATACCACAAATGAGCAATCAAAAAGCTTTTCACGCAGCACATAAGATAAAACCGCAACTTTTGCTTCAAGTGCATTAAACTCAATTCACACTTGTTATTAAGCCAACCACCTTAATGCCACAAACATACTTAAAATGAGAAAGCATACTGTCTATCCAATCAGCCCGAAAGATAGGAAAAACGATAACCAAAAACCAAAAACTCAGGGATACCTTTCGGATGGAAGTAAATCTATTAGGTTTTTGCACTTTCCGGAACCCGCTGTCACTAAATGTAGCTTTTTCTGCCTTAACAGTCTTCCAGCCCCCTGTTTCTGTCTTTGGAACTACAACTGCTTGCACACAAGCCTTTGGAGGCACAGCTGAGCTGGAATCAAGAGAAGGCTTTTTAAATCTCTCCGAGAGCCAAACACTCCAATGACAATATATACCCAAGTATGGTGCTACTGGAGCCGTCTATCTCAACGAAATAATATAAAGAACACATTACTAAATACCTATCAAATAAACAATGGAAATAAACTTTGTTGCATACCTTTTAATAGGCTGTGGCTTTCCTTGTGGAATAGCACGAGAGGCAGCAACACCCTGCAACTTTCCAGATATAAAGGCTTTCCGGCAACAAATCATAATGTATGAGTGATTGACTAAGTTAATTGACCACAATTAGGGAAGTTTAAGTCACCTTAGGTGAAAGTATAGAGGATATTTCACATTTTTGGATGGAGGTATTCTGATTCTGGCTGCAAATCATTTTCTGCAAAAAGTGAAAAGACGAAGAAAAAAAAAAAAGGATTCAGAGACCTCATGGAATTTTATAACTGAAAGTTCAACTGTTCAATAGAAAACACCAGGAAATAGGAAAGGTCAACATTTATTATGTCATAAAAGAATTGCAATTCTTAAACACTTTCTCTGCCTCATCTCAAAGAAAACATAAGAGTTCAAATTCATGATCTTGATGTCTTAAATACTTGCATGTGCCACAGAACTATCCATTATTCATCATACAGACCTGCATTTCCTTGATGAAGGAGTCGTGCAGCTTAGTCTGTGATTTCAGTAGAGATGCTTCTATGATTTCTATTTTTTCTGGTAAGGCTGAAAGCACCAAGAACATCTCCTGTAATTTGTCTTGATAGGTATTTTTGCTCAGTTGTTCAGACATAGACTTGATGCCCCCATCAAGGCTAGCTTTGAAATCTTCTTGCCCCTTACTCTGCGTTACCATATACCAGTTAAGTTAGAAAGGCCAGAATCATGGACGCTTGAAACAACTAAGTAGGGACTTTACGTGTTACTATTACCATTAACTGCAACGAGTTATCCTGAGCTGTCAACTTCTGCCGCATCGCTTCCACTGATTTAAAATTGAAAAAAGAACATAATGTTTGAGTTAATTATGATCTGAAACTTTTGACATTGTGTGGAGTAAATTAGTACCATTTTACAATTCAAAAATGAGCCTTAGTTGTACTATGTTTGACCAAATCTCTTCAAATTATGAGAAAATGGAACATCCTACAGACTTTCTGTTTCAATATGCCAGATTGGTAACTTAATCCGTCTTTTAGCTTTATATTTCTTGGTTCCTAGATCAGATACTCAGAATGATAAAAACATCTTATGCTGATTAGCCAGTAGTACAACTTCAAAATATTAAATTTACATATTTTATCTTCATCTCCTATATCTCAATGTGTAGAAGAATAGATTACTCACTCTCCATAGATACTTCCTTCATTCCTTTGTTTACTTGCATGACATCACTCTGTACTGAATCCAAGATCATTCCAAACTTATTCAACGAAGTTTCCATCATTCCAATCCGGTGTTCAAAGTCCTCACTAGTCTGACCTGCTCAGGCAAATAAAGAATTCAGTTTCTCTTATTAGACATATTACTCATACAAGAGCAATAATTTAATTGACCTGCTATTCTTACCCATTACAAATTAAACTTAAGGACCTTCCCTAGCACATTTTTTTTTAATTACTACCTATACTTAGAAGCCCTTCTGAATACTACTTATTCCTTTCAAACTTTGGAGGAAACTTACATCGATGATCTGAACCAGACGCAGAACTCCACTTGCGCATGAAGTTGGTGGAAGATCTTGAGATTTGCATTTGACTCTCTTCACGTGCATGACTAATTGGTGGTAAGCAGGCAATCTTCTTCACAGAATTCTCTCGTTCTTGAGAGCCAAACCTCTGCAGAGATAATATGAACAAAAAGTTAATGAACAAACCTTTTAATGAGAATCAATTTCACTCAGTTTGAGACATAATTTTTTTTTAATTTTAATAAATGCTTTTTCCAAAGGGATAACCTACTTATTTGAGTTGTCTTGTCATCAAAATAAAATGATGAAAACACAACTTAGGCTTTCTTTTCCTACACTAGGCTCAAACCTGAGACGAGATTTAACCTGATCATTGGTCAGAACGTCACTAAGAGAGTTCTGAGAGAGCTGAGAAAACATGCCATGCTGAGATGAGAATCCCTGAGAAAATGACTGCTCTGATGGTTGAGATCGAAGCTGCGATGCTTGTGGTCCATTTGGCACAGCATTTGGCCTCCTTCACATGAATTTAAAAGGAAAAAAGATACACAAATAAGAATATGAACAAGAGAATTCAGGAAAATCCGCTGATTAGCCTCATCACAGTTGACATATAAAATTAAGTTTTCCTTTTCACATATTTGCTAAAGCTTCATATAGGACAAAAACTTGCTCCCCCATAAACAGACTAAATTGGCAAGAGCAAGAAACATAGAAAGCAGAAGCAAATCTGAAACTCTTTCACTTAGGTTAGTTTCTTTGATTACGTTCGAAAGAAAATGAAATGCTATATTTCCTTTTCCTATGAGAAAGTGAAATCGACACCTACATCAAAAGGCAAAGTTCGAACAAAATCTTTGAATCCAATCATCTTAATCTCTTTCAGTTTTCTATATTTTCTCAGCGATCAAACAAAGCCTTTTGAATTGGAACTGGAAGCGATTGAAATACATGTGGTTCACAGGTCAAGACTTATTTTTCTAAGCATAGTCCCGCACACTTTGGAAATCAAACAAAACATATTCTGAAAGAGACACAGAACCTTGCATGCATGGGGAAGAAAAATTGAAATCGGCCTCTGAGTGACTCAAATAAGTGAGAAATCCTAGATGATACAAAGCTTAAGATTCAAAAGTTCATTTTCTCAACATTTTCCTTACATTTTCTCGTGAGCCAAACAGAAAGCTCGTGCATGATTGGAAGAATAACTGAGATCGATCCTACTTATATTATCAACTAAATACAAGAAGTAGAAGAGAAAAACAGATCTAAGAAGCTAGATTAAGCTAAAACTTTCTAAAACATTGAGAATTTCAAATTTCAAAAACTTCGATATTTTTGTGAAGCATTTTCCTGCGTTTTCTCATGAACCAAACCGAGCACACAGCGATTGAAATTTTAGAAATAAAATAATCGAACCTTGTGTGTGGAGGAAGGACCGAGATGGAGCTGAGATCGCAGGCCTTGTTGATCTTTAACTTCATTCGTTCGATTCAGTGACTTCGAGGTCTTTTTCGATGTACGGAGCAAATTGAAACAGACTTGAGACTCTACGAGTTAGAAGAGAGATTCGACCCTCGATTGAAGAAGACGATCGATTTGACGGTTTGAATTTGAAGAGAGACTCAGAGCGGAAAAGGAAAGAAAGAGCGCGTTGCGAGACTCGTGAGGAATCTTATACGGAGCCTGGCGGGAAAGGGATTTGAGAATTGCTTGATTGTTTAATGGGCCGAACTAAAAGTAAGGCCCATTTATGATCCAACATTTTGAGCTTCGCTTAAACCCTAACTAAACTGTGATCCCACTTTGGAAGCCAATTATGCGGGCTTAGCTTAAACGGGAGCTTCTACAATGAGGAGTTAAAGTGAGGAGGTTATTTGAGGAGACTGATCCGACCGTCAAAATATTTAAAATATTTAAGTCCCATGATTTCTATATATTTGTTGATGGTGAGATTTGATCTCCTCAAATAACCTCATCACTTTAAGCCCTCATTATAGCATTTCCGTAGCTTAAACCTAGCTGGGAAATGTTAGCGAATATGGACGAGTTAAGGTAACAAAGTAGAGTTGTAAGGGCTTTATAGTTTAAGTGGTTAAAAATATACATGTATTCATGTGTTCGGATCTCCACTCTGTAATATCGTTCGTACAAAAGATAATAAAAAGAAAGAAAATGTGTAGAATTCCAATAGAGAAAATGCCAATTGACTTATTAAAATTGAGGTCAAGCTTGGGTTGGTAGTTTCGAGCAAACCTATGCTCAATCCAAATATGCCCTCAAAATAATTTATTTGTTAAACCTACAAGTTCGCTCGCAAATTGAACTATAGTTAGTATAGAGTGCTTGTGTTGTGCCAGTAGAAATTATAGTTCAACTTTCTGATTTGGCCACTGTGAATGTCATTCTTGAAGGTAAATGTCCCCTGTCTGAATGAATGTTTAATATATTTCTGGCTCATCATCTTTCTTAGATGTTTCATGTTTCCATGTTTTTCATCACTTTTTGTGATACTTATTTTATAGATGCCTGAATATATAGCAATAGAAACTTCATTTTGATGCCTTAATAGTGACTGGTTGAAGGGCTTGCGGACGTGTTAAGCTGCCACACTTTTTTTGTTGCAGTGGAGTCTCTTCAGGGGACAAGTTGAAATTGAAGTTGCTGCGGTATAGAGGACTCAACTGTAGTAGACTCGTAGGATATCTACTGGTTGTGCCTGTTGTTAAGCTGGTGCAGCCAACATTCTTGAACCTCAAAGAAATTTAGCTAGGAAAACCTTTGGTGGGCAGGGAAAGTTAGGATAGATATAGAGGCAGAGGCAAGGCTGAAGACAATCACGAGCACATGTAATATTACAGAAAATGTAGAGAAGGAATTTAGAACGGCCATTTTCCCAATTAAGCAAACATCTTATAATGAAATCAAGATAGGAACTTATAACAAGCTCTCATTAGAGTGACAATGTCCAAAAACACAAGATGAACACCACACCACACTCAACACACACAATTGCTCATTAGCGTTGTAAATACAAAAAAGATGAGATATTACTTAGTACAATCAAATAGTTCTTCATTCCTCGTTGCTCAAATCATTGAACGCATTGCTCAAATCGTTGAGCATTTCATCCCAATTCTCCTCCACATTCTGTTGAAATGAGAATCCATCAACAGGAAGAACAAAATTGTCCATACCACGAAGAAATTCAGGAAATTCAGAACCCTCGCACATAAATTTACTAATATGAGACGCAAGCTTTGATAATTCATCGTCGTTCTCATCAAAACCAGAACAATCTCTGGCGTCGAACATCACTAGATCTTTGCATCCGCACAGCAATGTGACAAGACTATCCCGACTTACTTTTGCACCCTTCAAATTTAAGTACTTGATATTAGGCACCAACTTCACAATTGACAATGCCTCACGTTCATCAACAAAGCCTTTGGACAAATCTAAACCATAAAAATTCTTGCAATGTGTTTGTATAATTGCAAGTATTTTCGCTAAATTTAAGCATGAACCCAATGATAACACCTCCAAATTTTTCCACTTGCCAATCAGCTCTAGGTTCGTGTGTTTGTTGTCTAATACATTTCCTGGTAAACTCAAAGTCACAAGGCCAGGACACCTGCACACATTCCACAACAGCAAAAATGCTACATTTACATTTACAAGGAAAATTAAACTACACTAGGTTTGGAATTTTGAAAATTAACTTAAATGAGAAAACTTACACATTTGCAGCAAATTCGAAGGCTTCTACTGTGCAGCATTTGGGAAGCTTGAGCACAGTAGCATTTCCGCTGCTCCGATTGATCACAAACTTTAGAAAAGCAGTGACAGAGCAACGATCCCCATCAATTTGATACTCACTCGCAAATCTGTCCATAAGATTTTGAAAATTCGGACATTCAGACACATCCCAAGGCCAGACTTCAATACATTTGTTGTCCGGGGAAATGAGAGATTGCCAGCATGAAGGGTTGAGGGTTGCCTTGTACCATGACTTGCACACAAAAGGGACATCCAAAAGCAGTGACTCCATTCCAACTTCCACCAACACTTTGACCAAGCAGTCCATTTGTAAGTCCTCCCATCTTCGTTCGTCCATCTGCAACAACGATTTAATATAACTACATATGTATACAGTAAATTTAAAGAAAAAAAAAAACATAAATTTCAAAAGAATACAAAGAAACCTGGGAAAACAATCATATGGTAATCCTTTTCCTATATAATAAGAACAAACAAGAGAATTAATTGATGGAGTGTTGGATAATTGTTCATTCAACAAGCACTTTCTGCATTCCAACAAACAACAAAAAGTAGGAAACTAGTTACAGTCCAGCAATAATATAGAGGCAACTGCTTCACGAGGAAGCAATTCTAGTATTTCCTTTTAGAAAGGCAAGTAGGGCCCTTTAAAAAAGAAAAAGGAAAAAGCAAGAGACTCTTTGGCACCATCTGCTAAGCTAAAGCTAAGGAGTTACCACAGCAAGGCAGGCCATAATTGTCCTATAACCAAAGAAATTATCCTTATTTTTTTGGTAAAGAAATCATCCTTATTTAAGCTTCTCCTTACTTCCCTTTTTGGGCTTTAATCGAATTCAGATTTGAGCCAATTAAAAAAAAAATTAGGAAACTAGTCCAGCAATAATAGAGGCAACATAATATAGTATTTCCTTCTGGAAAAGCAAGTAGGACCTTTTTTTTTCAAAAGCAAGGGACTCCTTGACACCATCTGCTGAGTTAAAGCTAAGAAGGAATTACCAAAGCAAGCGCGCATAATTGTCCTATCACCAAACAGATCAAACTTCTAGAGGACTAAAAGAATAATGCCCCTAAATTGTTATGCATTTTTGTGGTGTTTGAGCCATATCTACTTTCTATTAGACTTCACAACAAAATTAATTATTTTTCAGCGGAGAAAATTTAACGAACAAGAATTTGTAGTTCCAAGTAATTAAAATCTATAATTATTTCAACATTACAATTTCCACTATATCAATTGAACAAAATAACTAAAAGAAAGGAAATAATTTAAATAAAATATAGGAACAATTACAAGCCCTCATGAAAATAACAATCAAATAGGTCTTCATTCCTCATCATCTTCAAATTCATTGAACATGCCAACATCGAAGGGCATTGAACCTATTTCACAAACCAAATCATCCGTAGAAAACCACCTACAAAGAAATTCCGGAAAAACAGAACCTTTACTCATATGAGATGCAAACTTTAATAATTCATCATCGTTCTCATCAAAACCAATACAATCCCTGACGTCCAACACCACAAGATCTTTGCAGTCGCGCAGCAATGTGACAAGGCTATCCCGACTAACGATTGCACCTTTCAAGTTTTAAGTACTTGATATTAGTCACCAACTTGACAATTGCCAATGCCTCACGTTCACGAATTAAGGTCATGGACAAATCTAAACCGTAAAAATTCTTGCAGTGTGTTTTTATAAGGGCAAGTATTATCACCAAATTTAAGCTTGAACCCAATGACACCACCTCCAAATTTTTCCACTTGCCAATCAGCTCTGGGTTCATGTGTTCACTCTCCAATAATCTTAGGGGTAAACCCAAAGTCACAAGGCCAGGACACCTGCACACATTACACAATAAAATGCTACTTTTACAGGAAAAATTAAAATATACTTGGCTTGGGCAGTTAGACAGAGCAGTGAGCAACCCACCCTTGCATCCAAGTTCAAATAATCTTATCCGTCGTTAGATTAATTCAAAGTAATTTAAATATAAATATATAGAATTATGAGTTTCGAAAATTAAGTTTGGTTAAACAAGTGAAAATGAGAACAAGTTAAAAGGAAACTTACACATTTGCAGCAAATACAAAGGTCTCTACTGTGCAGCATTTGGGAAGCTTAAGCAGGACAGCAGTTCTGCTGCTCCGATTGATCACAAACTTTAAAAAAGTGGTGACAGAGAAACGATCCCCATCAATTTGAAACTCACTCGCAAATCTGTCCATAAGATTTTGAAAATCAGGACATTCAAAATCATCCCAAGGCCAAATCTCAGTACGTTCGTTGTCTGGAAATATGAGACATTGCCAGCATGAAGGATTAAGGGTCGCTTTGTACCATGACTTGCGCACAAAAGGGACATCCAAAAGCACTGACTCCATTCCAACTTTCTCGAACACTTTCACCAAGCAGGCCATTTCTAAGTCCTGCCATCTTCGGTTGTCCATCTGCAAGAGTATGACAAGGAATTAAAAGAAAGATCGAGCACTAAGACAAAAAGATTACTAAATAATAAACAGAAACCTGGGAAAACAATCACCTTAAGTTGAAGAATGCAGGGCTGAATGCATATGGTAATCATTCATAATAAGAACCAACAAGAGAAATAATTGATGGGGTGTTGGAAAATTGTTCATTCAATAAGGACTTTCCGCATTCCAATGCAGTGCATGCTCTGGATGTTCAAAAGGACTTTTCCCATTCCAATGCAGTGCATGCTCTGTAGATTCAAAAGGACTTTCCACATTTCAATGCAGTGCATTGGTTTCGGAGGCTGATTAGGGCTACGCACAGTTTGATTAACCTGACCAAGTGCTTAGAACTGCCTACCAAACTGAAACTGATCAAGTCGATGAAGGAAATTATGGGACCAACATCGACCCGCCACTCTCATCTGCCGACCACACAGTAGGTTCATGACCAAGCAAATGGTTTGATGCAGGTCGGTTTCAGCGAAGAAAGAGAGGGAGAAGAAAGAGGAAGAAAGGTTGAAGTACTAATAATGCATTATTGCAATACATAATTGAGAAGTTTGTATCTGTACAATTCAATGTAATAGCAGAAGCTTTGATTAGTGACAAAAAATTCAGACTGATATAATAGCACAAGATATGCTTACTAGATTTATCAAGACATTCCTACAATATGTATACATAATGAGATAAGCAATGTCTATTGCTGTAACATGATCTTGCATTAAAGAAATAAATGCTAGTGAAATATAGAAGAAGATTACATCATGGGGTATTTCAATTGCATGGAAAAATCCTCTGGAGGCAATTCAATCCAGAACACAGAGAACAATTATTATTTATAGTAATTAAACTGTAGTGGAAAGTGTAATAGCAATCACTTTATGTTTGAACTATCGGTCCAAAAAGAGGGTATTTCGATTCAACTCACGTTATGTTTGAACTGTCAAATGTGAAGTTGTTGACCACTAAATTCTTGCATAAAATCATTAATCAATCCACATATGAAGATGAGAATTTCGTGTTCAAGATCTCAACATATCAGTACTTCAAATCCATCCCTTCTAATTTATTGAATTTCATTCATGTGGTATTATACATGCACAATGAAGGTGATTTGGACCATAAAAATGAAGGTGAAAGATAAAAAGGAGACATACAGTTGCGATATTGTGGTTACCCATGGGGGAAAGCTTCCTGAGAAATAGTTGTAAGACAAATCTCTGCCCATAACAATACAGAATGAGAAGGCACAAAAATGCATGAAAGTTCAAAGGAATTTAAGTAAGAAAAAGGCTGCCAGAATGCGCGCACACACAGAGAGTACTGGTTTCATTGCCAGTACATATAGCATACTTTTATGACATTAGT